TGGTAGAAGTATTCTCTTGCTTGCTCTCTCTCTCTCTCTCATTCTCTCTTCCAAATGGAATAAAAATGAATTGTTTTAGAATGTTTATTGCCTTATGACAAGTCAGAGTAAGAACATTGATTAGTCTGAGAATATGACTTTTTGTGTTTCTCTAAATCCAGTCCATGTATCTCCTGTGATGTAAACTTAAGTTTCTTAACTTTATGAATCTGGTAGGTTGATATTTAAAAGATTTACCTTTATTTATTTGGAAGGCAGAGAGAGAGTCTTCCACCCATTATTTCACTCCCCAGATGGCCACAGCGGCTGGCGCTGTGCATCCAGGTCTCCCATGCAAATGGCAAAGGCACAGCACGTGGGCCATCTTTCACTGTTTCTCCAGGCACTGTAGCAGGGAGCTGGATCAGAAGCAAGTGCCAGGGACTCAAGCTGTGTTCTGGAATAGGATGTCAGCACTGCAGGCAGAAGCTTAAGTAGCTACACCACAATGCTGACCCTTGTTTTTCATTACTTTGTTGTAATATGGAGCTAATAAAGACTGTACAGGGTAGGTGTAAGAGTAACATATCTGGGCCCGGCGCGGTGGCGCAAGTGGTTAAGGTCCTTGCCTTGCAAGCCTGGGATCCCATATGGGCGCCGGTTCTAATCCCGGCAGCCCTGCTTCCCTTCCAGCTCCCTGCCTGTGGCCCGGGAAAGCAGTCGAGGACAGCCCAAAGCTTTGGGACCCTGCACCCGCGTGGGAGACCCAGAAAGAGGCTCCTGGCTTCGGATCGGCATAGTATCAGCCGTTGCCCTCACTTGGGGAGTGAATCATCGGACGGAAGATCTTCCTCTCTGTATATCCGCCTTTCCAATAAAAAAATAATAATAAAAATAAATCTTAAAAAAAAAAAGAGTAACATATCTGTCAGTGAAAAGTGCTGTCCACAAGTTAGTGTCTCCTGTCATGTTAGACCCAGTCTGCCAAAACTGACTCTGCTCTGCCTTGATCTTGCAAGCTCATCAGTTCTGACAGGCTGGCAGCTCAAATGCAGACGCCGAAAGTGTCATGGCTGGGGACTCCTTCCCAGAACATTTGACTTCTTGTCCTAAAGTAAGATTCGACTTTTCCCCCACCCCACTTTCCTAAGTCTCTTTCCCAGGCCAGCTAACTCCATGTGAAAAGCAACTCTCCTAAATTGACATTTTTTTAAAAGATTTATTTATTTATTGGAAAGTCAGATATACAGAGAGGAGGAGAGACAGAGAGGAAGATCTTCCATCTGATGATTCACTCCCCAAGTGACCACAATGGCCAATGCTATGCCAATCCGAAGCCAGGATCCAGGTCTTCCCATATGGGAAGAACTTCTTCCGGGTCTCCCACATGGGTGCAGGGTCCCAAGGCTTTGGGCCATCCTCGACTGCTTTCCCAGGCCACAGACAGGGAGCTGAATGGGAAGTGGAGCTGCCAGGAATAGAACTGGCGCCCATGTGGGATCCTGGCATGTTCAAGGCAAGGACTTTAGCCGCTAGGCCACGGCGCCAGGCCCCTAGATTGACCTTTGCCAAGTCAGATAGCCCTGTAAATCAGACTGAACAAACCAAGTAAACTGAAGGAATTCTGTTGTGTCCTATCGAAACTGCTCACACACTGACAGCGCAGTTATGGCAGTCCCTTACGGGAAAGGCTTACCACCAGACAGGTTTCAGACCTTGGAATATTTACATATGCATATTGAGGTACCTTGGGAATGAGATCCAAGTCTGAACATGACATTCATTTATATGTTTCACCTGCATCTCACACACTTGGGCTGAAAGTAATTCTATAGAGTGTTTTCAGTACGCCCTCATTCTGACTGATCTGTCACACAGAACTAGGTATGGAGCTTTCAACTTGTTGTGTCATGGCAATGCTCAATAAGTCCTATGGGTGGGGGTTAAGTGGAGTTTTGGATGCTCAACTAGTACCAAGGTTGCAAAAATTATTTTAAAAACTGTATTGCAACAGTGTTTCCTTAACTGTACTTCTTAATTAGTAGTGGCGAAGTCCTGCACACTCTTCTGAGGCATTTCAGGCAGAACTGCACGAAGGACATTGTGTCATTGCACATCATGCTGCAAGCCAGTTAGCAAAATTAAGCAGCAAGTGTAATGTTTAGATAAACTAGCACAACCAATTTTAGGCTTTATTAGGAGCTCCTTGCCAGTAAGCAGTGGTCACCTGTGCACAGGACTTGGGACGTCTCCTGCTGCTTTCCTAGGCCATTAGCAGGGTGCTGAATCTGAAGTGGAGCAGCTGAAACACAAAACAGCACCCCTATAGGATTCTGGTACTTGCACTTGGAGGATTATTAGCCTGTTGAGCTGCTATGCTGACCCCAAGTAAAAAATCTTAATCTTAGATTTGGCAGTTATAAATGATACACACAAATCATAAATTGTTGTAAACACCAATGAATTAAACTCTTTCAAAAATAAAATTGTTCTCAGACTCAGCAAGATGGCTCAGTGGCTAAATCCTTGTCTTGCAAGTACCAGGATCCCATAGGGGTGCCAGTACGTGTCCCAGCTTCTCCACTTCCCATCCAGCTCCTCGCTTCCAGCCTGGGCAAGTAGTGGAGGATGGTCCAAAAGCCTTGGGACCCTGCACCCACGTGAGAGACCCAGAAGAGGCTCCTGGCTCCTGGCTCCTGGCTCCTGGCTCCTGGCTCCTGGCTCCTGGCTTTACATAGGCTCAGCTCTAGCTATTGCAGTAACTTACAGAATGAACCAGCTGGCAGAATAACTTTCTCCGTTTGTCCTTCTTTATGTCTGCCTTTCCAGTAAAAATGAATAATTTTTTTAAAAAATAACAAAAGTATTCTCTTCAAAAGACAGTTATAAAAATGAAAAAGTGGAAGGAATTCAGGTCTTCATCAAAATTACCATATAGACCAAGTATCATCACATTTCCCTTTTTTAGGGATTAAAAGTATGGTCAGAAGAATGGGACATTGTAAATTGCAGGACATACAATGGCAACCACATTCCCTGCTCCCAGGATGACAGCAAAATTTTATCAGACTTTAACTGCCCACTGTGTGTTTTTCCTCTTACTCCTCCTCCCGCTCCTCCTCCACCTCTTCTTCTCCATTCACTCCCCTCCCACAGAAGGATTGCTTGTTGTTCCCGTTGGGATTTTGTTATTGTTGTTGTGCTTTTATTTTACCATGCATGAATCTACCATTTTAGCTGCAACATTTTTGAGCCTTCTGGGCCTCTGTGGCAGCTGTTCTGGGGTGTTCCTGGCAGTCATGTGTGTTGGTGCACACAGCCACCATTCATTTTCACTCCTGCGAAGTCCCATTGCATGAAGAAGTCATGGTTTATATAAACAGAAAAAGGGGGTGATTTTCCTGATGGGGTTTTTGGTGATGCATGTCTCGTGAAACACACATGCATGTGTTTCCAGGACAGATTTCCTGGGAGTTAAATTGCTATTCCACAGGGTATACATATCTTTCATTTTAATAGTTAATGCTATAATTGTACATATTCATATATCAGTCAGGGTATGAGTCATATCATTGTTTCTCCAATGTGAGGGGTACAGAGTGGAATCCTGTGTTAGATATAACTGGTCATTATTTCTTTTCTCCTCTGTAGTTATGTTATTTGTTCTTTTCAACTGTTTTCATTTTATTTGAAAGGCATAGAAACAGAGATAAGATAAAGTCCTCTGTTCACCTGTTCTCTCCGCAAGTGTCTGCAGCAGCCAGGGCTGGGCCAGGCCAAAGTCAAGAGGCTAGCTGAACCCAGTTCTCCCACATGGGTAACAAACCTGTGTGAGTGAGTCATGACTGCTGCGTTGCCGGAAGCTGGGAGGGAAGCAGAGCGGCCGGGCCTCAGCATGGCAGCAGGCAGTGCAGGCATCTCGAGCAGGGCTCTTCTCCCCTCTTCATTCTTTCTAGATACTGCTCTGGATGCATGTCCCTTTTTTTGTTACATATAATTCAGGGACCTTTGCCATGTTTGCAGTGACTTTTTGTGATGAAGAGAAATTCTAAATCTTAATGTTATTTATCAACCTTTTCCTTTGTAATTTATTACTTTTGTTGGCCTTAAGCAATGCTCTGTCTCTGAGGTCACTGGGGGCTTTCCACCCTCTGTCGAGCATAGCACTCTGGGAGCTTTGCTGTGACCAGCCCTGGTGACCTGAAGCCCAGTCACAGTGGCCGACGCAGCAGGGCAGCTCAGCCTTAGAAGACATTTTCAGAAACAGCTTACTAGTTGTGGGTATGATGCAGGGAATACTGATAGCACCCCACAAACATACATCTTATATCCTGGTTTTTTCACTTAACATCATATTTCAGAGATTTTAACTCATTAAAATTATTAAAGCTCAGTTTTAATGAATCGTGTATTGGATGAGACAGAGCATACTTTATATTTTCTTGCTGAGCATTGTGCATTTATAAATAAGACTTGCTAAAACAATTTATTCCTAAATCTCTGTGGTATTCTGCTTATTTCTCTGAGAAAAATTCATGGAGTTAGTGTTACTTGCCTGGAATGTGCTCTTGATATTATTAGATATAGTAAGCAGTTGAAATTAACAAAGTGTGAAAAAGCTCAGTTTCTGGGCAGTGTTTGCTATCATTTACTTGATCCTGTACAAAGAAATGCAGCATTTACTCCATGTTGCGTTAATGATGACCATTTTGTTATATGGTGTATGTGATTCTTCTAGTCCTTACATAGGCTCTGCCCTCCTCATATCTCGCATTAGTCTGAATGCACTGGTTTGAGGGGGAGTTGTGGTACATTTAGATCAAGCTCTCAGTCATATTTGGAAATGGTTAATATATTGGGATTGTCAGTCCTCAAAGGTTTATGGTCCTGCAAGGCATCATGTACTTGGTCTGTGTGGAGTACTTGCCCGTTGTAAAACTAGCTTTTCTTGAACAGGGATGCAGAATTTAGCTACAGGAAACAGTGCTAATGCTGATCTTGTAACCCCGCCCTGTCTGCAGGTGAAAGTGTTGCACAATCAGCTGGTCCTTTTCCACAATGCCATTGCCGCTTACTTTGCTGGGAATCAGAAGCAGCTTGAGCAGACACTTAAACAGTTCCATATCAAATTGAAAACGCCTGGAGTGGATGCCCCATCGTGGCTGGAAGAACAGTAAAACCACACCTGGAGAAGAACGTTGTACTGTTGTGTTTCTAAACAAACCTAGCAAGAATTAGGCAGAACTGGGGCAAGTGAGGAGGGGTGACAGTCATTGTAGTTATTCTTGCACAACAACTTTCGTTTTACCCTTTTGTCACACTAACGATTGAACTGCTAGATTTGATGGGAAGGTGGGCGGTTTTAATGTAAACCTAATTTCTATAATCTGAACACAATAATTGTCCCTTTTGAAATCCATTGGTATCGTGAGAGTTGATGGCTATTTCTGTAGTTTGAAAACATCTAATATAGATTTGCACTGACAAGACAGAACTGCAAGGATTTGGCCCCAAAAGTGCGGGCCAGCTGCAACTTTTGCAAAAGGAAGGTTTACATAATTTGTATCAATGTCAGATATTTTATATATGAATATTTTAGACATCCTTAAGAGATTCATTTTCATGTATTGTCTTAAAGAGAAAAACTATTTTGCAGAGGAAAGTTCTATGGTGTTCCTGCAGCATTCACAGGGGGCTGGCAGCTGTAAGGAATGACTGATTGGCTTGTAGGAATGTAGCACATATCCTTCCAGAAATGAACCCATACTGTTGTAATTTTGTTTAGACTTCTTTTGAAGATTCAGGAATCGTACAGTTGTTTCTGGGAGGCTCTTAAGATTAGGAATTTGTGAACCCAAAAGCCATTGGGCAGTTATATTAGCAATTTTTTTGATTTATAATGAAAACTGCCTGATATAATTTTGTTTTCTTTTTGTACCAGGTGGACTTGGGGATGGAAATTGTTGATGATTTCTGGAGTGGGAGTCATCTCAGAAAGCTAATGTTTGGGTAAATTCCATGTTGACGGAAGTGAATTCCTAGACAGCTTTCATTGACATATGTAACAATACCGTTTAAGCCTTAAATCACAGATATGTGCCTTCTCAGATAGAGTAATTCTCGGCAACCAATGTACATAATCCATTTAAAAAACCCTCTCAGATAATGTTTGATGTGTCTGTCGCTCCCTTGCAGAGGAGCACTGTTTATAAATGTTGTATTTCATTATACTCAATAAGCCACATTTGAAGTTTATGGTAAAATCAGCTTTTGAGTTTCATGTTTGGTTTTTTCTTCATTCCTTCTGAGGAATGGGAAGGCCCTAAGAGTTTTTTTTTTCATGTGAGCAATGGAAAAATAATGTTGGACAGGTATGTCACGAGAAGAAAGGGGAGTGGCAAGCCAATAAGTGCTGTTCCAGTGCTCAGCATGCTTGGTTTTGTGTCATCTGGTTGGTCTGTCGCTGTGACGTTCAGTAACGTGATAGTTTTTCAGTGTAAAATTCATTTGATTTTTGTCATAGGTATAAATTAATATTTTGGGAGATAACGCTTCACCTGTTCATTTTGTGTTAAAATTACTGTTATACATGAACTCTGTGAACTGTAAGATTTTGTTACATATGTTCAGATGCCTTTTAGATGGCTTTTTCATTAATATACCTGTCTTGAGTGCTTAATACAATGTAATGTGATTGTAAATCATAAACCTATTTTAAATCATTCCCTCCTGTATATTTGTACTCTGAGAGAGCCTTATTTTATTCTTGCAGCGGAGTTAATACTTGTGATAGTTCATTTACATTCCCCAGACTGTGCCTCTGGTGTGAATTTTGTATTCTTATTAAAAGTGTTTGCTGCAGTACTCTTCCTCTGGGCCTTCCTAGTTCTGTGGGACTTTTTGTTTCTAATTGGAGAGACAGAGGGCAGAGGGGTGGCTTCCATCATCATTTACTCCCCAGGTGCCCTGCAACTGTTAGGTCAGGGCCTCATTGAAACAAGGGGCCAGGGACTGAATCTGCATTTCCATATGAGTGTCAGGATCCCACCTGCTCAGTCCATCACAGGTGCCTATGACGGTACACGTTTTCTGTTCCAGACTTTTGACTCAATAGGTCATTATTTTCCCTCATTCTGCATCGCTTATGGAAGCTAAACATACCCAGTCTTGGGACATTTCGGTAACACTTGCAGCAAAGGAACTAAATACTTCCTGGATTGAAGCTCTGTCACAGTAAACTGATGTATCAGTGATCCCAGATAGTGGATGCATGAAAGAAATAAGTAAATGAATATATTAGCTAGTGGATTGTTTTCTTTGATAGGAAAGTAATTCATATTCATTATAGAAAAAAACCAGAAAATTTCATAAAACAATATCATAAATATCTTTCCAAGTAAATACTGCCTAACTCCCCCAAGTAGAGGTATTTTGTTTTGTCTTTTTTAAAGATTTATTTTATTTTTTTATTGGAAAGGCAGATTTACAGAGAAAAAGAGAGACAAAGATCCTCCATCTGCTGTTTCAGTCCTCAAGTGGCCTCAACAGCTGGAGCTGAGCTGATCTGAAGCCAGGAGCCCTTCCAGGTCTCCCACGTGGGTACAGGCTTCCAAGGCGTTGGGCCGTCCTCTACTGCTTTTTAAGTCCAGAATCAGGGAGCTGGTTGGGAAGTGGAGCTGCCGGGATAAACCAGCTCCCATATGTGATCCCGACAGTTGCAAGACAAGGATTTAGTCGCTGGACTACTGTGTCGGGCCCAAAGGTAGGTGTTTTGATGGCCAATGTATAAGCTCTAGGTTGAGTGTCCTTTGATGTATGTACAGTCATCTTTGCATTCTTAAAGTGATTATTGCCTTAGGTTATATTCCAGCAGTGAAACTGGGCCTCAAAGTATAAGCACACTTTTAAGGCTGTTTTATGTGTTGCTTGTTTATTTTTTAGAATGTACCCATGTATATCTCCAAGGAAGTACCTCAGTGCCTCTGTGGTGCATTTCAGGCCAGTATGCAAAATGATGAAATGTGTAGAACCAGCATGTATAAATTTTTTAAATTTTGTATTCTAGGTGAAAAGGGAAAAACTGACAAGAAGGTAGGTAAATTTTGAACAGTCAGGATTTGGAGAGTTTGGATGGAAATGGCTGCTTTTTTCATATTAAAATAGAAACTATTTTTTTAAATTACATATAATAGAAACACATTCAAGAAAATAAGAACACATGGACCCAGCGCCGTGGCCTAGCGGCTTAAGTCCTCACCTTGAATGCGCTGGGATCCCATACGGACGCCAGTTCTAATCCTGGCAGCTCCACTTCCCATTCAGCTCCCTGCTTGTGGCCTGGGAAAGCAATGGAGGACGGCTCACAGCCTTGGACTCATGCATCCATGTGGGAGACCCAGAAGCTCCTGGTTTTTAGTTTCAGATCTTAGCTCCAACCATTGTGGCCACTTGGGGAGTGAATTAGCAGATGGAAGATCTGTCTGTCTCTCCTCGCTTTAAACCTGCCTTTCCTGTAGCCTCCACCAGCGTGAGCTGGAACAATGGGAAGAAGGGAGGCGGGCCAGGCTACAGCACTCACTGGCAAATGCAGAGGTGAGGCGGGCCATACCAGATTCGGCCGCACTGCTCAACCATCACTCGTGAGACCCAGAGGGTAGGAAACAGGCACGGAAGGGTGCTGCGTGGAACTCCCCTGCTGGACAGTAGTACTACTACCACTGCTGAGCTTGAGACCTGGGATTGGGGGCAGACCACCCCGGGCAGGCTGTAACACCTATTGGCTTGCAGGTGAGCTGGATCAGGGGAAAGTTCGGCTGGGCTGACTGTTCCTTCTGGTACAAGCACAAATCAAAGTGGGTGAGGGTTAGTTAGGCTTTGCCACAGCATCAGCTGGTAAATGCTTCCACTGGGTGGGCTAATTCTGTTAAGATAAGCTACAGAGCCACCTGGAGAGTGCAAGATCCAGGAGTGGGACTAGGCCCATCAGGGAAACAGTGGGCACCTCCCTCTTGGATTTCCACTCCCATTGGTCAGCATGGGAACCAGAACTAGGGGCAAGCATGGCTAGATAGAGAGTGGCACTCGCTGGCACCAATGTGGAATGATTAGTGGGGCTGGTTAGGTTGAACTAGACCTCAATGCCCATTGGCATGTATGAGAGCTAAATGGGATGTTGGACCACCAGTGTGTGCGTAGGCTGAGTTGGGCAGTAGACTGTTCTGGACCCTGTATTGGCAAGTACACACAAGAATAAGTTCTGGAATCACCTCAGATGAGGTTTCTTTGGGGATCTCCCCTACTGAACTGCTGGAGAGAATTGCAGGTTCCGTGGACTGACCATGGAGTGCATGTGTCAGAGCTGGGACTCCTCATTGGCTTAGACGAAGCAGTGGACAGCATATCCAGTTGCACATGGAGGATATGGCAATACATTGGAGCCTGCACAGGACACCTGGTACCATAACAGAACATGGAGGACAGAATAAATTGATCAACTACCCCAGCCAAGGTTGGTAGTTAAAATCTGGGCAGAGACTCTAAGGTGGACTCTGGAGAGATTTCATTGTACATGGAGTGGTGAGATCAGCAGCAGTTTAGAACTGTTGAACTATCAAAAGCACTTGAGCAGGACCCTGGGAGCATGCCTTGCATCAGCAACCCTGGGATGGTGGGGAGGCTGTGTGTGGATTCTCCCCTCTCCCTCTTTCCCATATATATAGGAAGGAAAAATAGAATGTGGAAACAATGATCTCAACCACTTTCCTCCAACTGATCACACTGATGATGTCAAAGAAGCAAACCCTAAAGAGAATGAAAGGTACCGAGGCCCCCAAATACACTAAACTGGCTTACCCAGCTCCACATCACCAAACGTAATGCTGGAGAAGTATCTGCAACTAAACACATGCATCTCCCTTTAAAAAACCCATCTACCTTCAAGTGGATTTGTATTAGATACATTGCAAAGTATGTAAGATGTCAATCCCAAAATATCGTATGTTCTCTCTGATAAAGGTAACCTTCATGCAAAACACAAAATCAGTAGATATAAACATGCACGTACATGTAGTCATCTGGAGAAACTGCAAAATGGAGACTATCATGTCGAGATGTGAGGATACAAAGCAGTGTCATCTCTACTTCCAAATCAAAGGTATACTTCCAGTGAGACTGTTAAATATATCTTGATAATAGGATGCTGGACAGTCTGCCATTGTCCATAAAAGATATATCAGGATTCACTTATGACTATTATCTGAAGGACTATATTATTGTAATAAAATAAGGGAGATTAGTGAGAGGAGGGGGGAAGGCAAAGTCTCAGAGCCTTTGGAATTGTATGATAAAATTAAAAAAATTTTTAAAGGATTTATTTACTTGGAAGGTGGAATGACAAATGGGGAGAGAGTGGTATCTCGCATACACTGGTTCACTGCCCAGATGCCAACAACAGCCAGGCCTGGACCAGGTGGAAGCTGGGAACTCCACCCAGGCCATCAGCAGGAAGCTGGAGAGTAAGTGGAGCAGCTGAGACTGCCCTGCTGTCTGATGGAGGATGTGGTGCCAAGTGTGGCTGCTTAACAACACCATCCCCAGGATGTGCGTCATTTCCGTCGGTGTTTAATTTATATTATTCTCCAAAAGAAGTGATTCTAGGGGGGAAAATATAGAAAGTACAATTATTTACACTGAAAACCTAAGATAAATATCTTTTAATCATGGAGCTGTGCATCAAAATGTGCCTGATCTCCTGAGAAAAACAAAAGCACATTATCAGCATGACTACTTCAGTGCAACACCACTTGTGTAACTTGTGCCATTTGGGGTTTTTTTGGGGGGGGGGGTTAAGATTTATCCGTTTTTATTGAAAGTCAGATATACAGAAAGGAGGAGAGACAGAGAAGATCTTCCATCCGATGATTCATTCCCCAAGTGACCACAACAGCCAGTACTGCACCAATCCGAAGCCAGGAGCCAGGGACTTCCTCCAGGTCTCCCACACTGGTGCAGGGTTCCAAGGCTTTGGGCCGTCCTCGACTGCTTTCCCAGGCCACAAGCAGGGAGCTGGATGGGAAGTGGAGCCGCCGGGATTAGAACTAGCACCCATATGGGATCCTGGCGCGTTCAAGGTGAGGACTTAAGCCGCCAGGCCACCGTGCCAAACCCAACTTGTGCCATTTGTGAAGGACCAATTAAAATGCCCCGTATTTTGTAATAATCTTGTTGACATATTTGGGAGAGTTGAGATACTTCATCGCTCAAGTCTAAGCAAATGTTTTCTTTAACAAATTTTGATTCCTTTTAAGGTGACAAATTTTGTTATGGACTAGACTATCAAGTAGGTTATTTTCTGATGGAAAAGCCACTTTATTTTTTTTTAACTTTAGTTTGAAGCTTTTCAAAGGCCACAAGAACTTTACTATGTTTACAACGTAGCAAACTGTTAAAATACAAAGACAGCAGTTTTCTTCTGCTGCTAGTTTTTGTTCAATTCTCTGTTCCACTTGCTTAACTATTTCTTGGAAGAAATGAGCCTCAAGTTGCCCAGTAGTCCTAATGTGTAGAAAACTGAAGTTCAGCATTGTTTTGTGAAATAAAGTTGGAGTAATCCATGTTTATAAGGGAGAACTGGTTATTGCTCTGATGTGGAAAGAAAGAGATCATCCATTGAGGAGGAGAGGTTAGACCCCTCTGCCTGAGGGCTAAGTCTAGTTCAGTGGAATTCCAAAACTGTCCCACACACATCAAAATACCTCTGTAGACTTTGCCCTGGAAGTAATGCCAGAAAAAGGCAAATATATATATTTTTTCCAATTAGATAAAGGTTACCATGGAGTAAGCAGACAGCAACTTTAGCCCTTTTA